TGATAGTCTAATGAATGATTTCTGTCTATTGTCTTATCACACTTACCGAGAATCATCTCCCACAGAGTAGCTGGAGTGAGCTTTTAACGAAACAAATATTTTTACTACTAAAAGCCTTTAGGTAATTCATCTAGTTCATTACCTAAAGTTTAAAGCAGTAAGCAACATTCTAGGTGCTTCTGAACCCAGATTCTAACCACCTCACTGGCTTCATCTTCTAACCCTTCCTCCATAAATCTCGAATAATTTGCTAAACCATAATATCAAATAAACTAGTTTGTACATGGATGGAAGGCATCAAAATATTTTTATTGACAAAAATTCATATAATAAAACACTAATGCTACTGGAAATTGAAGCCAAAACGTTATCAATTCTATTAATGGAAAATAAACTCAAGCATCAGGTAAGTAATGCCATAATAAAATTCAGATAACAGTTATTTGTCATTACATTAAGACTTAAAACAAGAATTCTGAAACAACCAACAGCCTGGTAATAGCCACAAGAACCTACATCTCTATGGGAGGTTCTGCAAACTAACCAAATTCCGCCTATTCTAAGCTGCACATTTTACAACGTTAACATCACTGAAATAAGGGCAAGCTTTCCTCTTTTCATGTTGGTCAGGACACACATGGCTTAGAAGAAAATGACAGAGACAGTAATTGGAGCCCTCTTAAGAAATGCTAGGAGGGCCGGTGCAGTGGCTCACGTCTGTAATCCCAACACTTTAGGAGGCTGAGGTGGGAGGATCATTTGAGCCCAGAAGTTTGAGACCAGCCTGAATGGGCAACGAAGTGGGACCCCATAGCTAATAAAAAACAAAACAAAACAAAAATAACAACAACAAAATAAAAACAGAAAGTTTAGGTGGTTGTGGTTGTGTGTGCATCTGTAGGACCAGCTACTGGGGAGGCTCAGCTGGGAGGATCACTTGAGCAGGGAAGTCGAGGCTGCTTGTAAGCTATGAAGGTGCCACTGTATACTCTAGCCTGGGCAACAGAAGGAGACCCTGTCTCCCAAAAAAAAATTAATTAATTAAAAAAAGAAATGCTGCATCATTAACTCTCTTGATGCCACAGAGGATGATATGGTGTGGGAAAAGACAGACACCTGTGACTCTGAAGGGATAAATAATACAGGAAAGTCAGCCTCTAAATGTGAAGGTGTTTTAGAAATATCTCAACCAAATTTTTTCATTTATATTTTACTTTTCATACATATGAAAGTGGGACCTATGACAAAACTAACAATAAATGTAAAAGAACAAGAGTAATAGCAAAATAAAACCTTTAAGTGATAAGTGTCATAGTTTAGTCACAGCATTCTTCTCCACTTCTCCATCCTCTACCTCACTGGTACTGTATCGTCGTGATTAAATGAGACGATATTTCACAATCAATATTTCAAAGGATTAAGATTATTTTATTTCAAAATAACTAAAAGAGAGGACTTGGAATGTTCCTCACACAAAGAAATAATAAATGCCAAAAGTGATGGATACCTTAATTACCCTGATTTTATCGTTACACTTTGTATGCTTGTATTAAAGTATCACATGTGCCCCACAAATATACACAACTATTTAAAAGAAAAAGAAACATTTTTAAAAATTAAAAATAGAACAGAAATTTATGAAAGATTAAAAAGAATGCTGGGATACATTATTAATTCACTCAACAATTATTTATCCTGTGCCAGGAATTGTTTCAGGAGCAAGAATTGCAGCAGTAAACAAAACACACAAAAATTCTTGCCCTCAGGAAGCTTTGTTTCATGTGTGAGATAGATAACACAACAAATAAATAACAAAATTAATAGAATATGCTAATTTTAAGAACTAAAGAGAAAGATCAGAGAGAAAAAATAGAAATTTGGCAGGGAGATGCTATTTTAACTAGGGTCGTTAAGGAAGGCTTACAGGAGGTGAGGGAGCCAACCATGTTTGATATTTCAGGGAAGGACTTTCTAGGCAAAAAGAAGAGCAGGTGCAACGGCTCAGAAACAGGAACCCATCTAGTGTATTAGAGGAACAGAGCCAAGGGTGCCAGTGACTCTCAGGAAGGATAAAAGCAAGTAAAACTAGATGGGAATGTGGTCGAGAGATAGAAAGAGGGAATCATCAGGTCTTATAGATCAGTGCTATTCAACAAAAAAATTATATGAATTCCAGATATAATCCAATTTTTCTAGTTGCCACATTAAATGGTAGAAGATAGGTGTGATTAATATTAATCCATTTTATTTAAATCAATATATTAAAAATACTATAATTTCAACCTATATGTAACATATGCATTATTAATGTGATATTATATATTATGTTTTAAATAATTTTAAATAGACTTTTTAGAGCAATTCTACATTCATGGCAGAACTGAGCAGGAGGTAGAGATCTTTTTTGTATACAAAGTATTCGAAATCTGGTGTGTATTTCACACTTACAGCTCATCTCAATTTGTACTAGCCACATCTCAAGTGCTCAGTAGCCACATATAATAGTGCCTACCATCTTGAACAGCACAAATCTGGACCTTTGTAGAGCAATATAATGACTTTGGCTTTTGTGGTGAGTGAATTCGAAGGGCATGGAAGAATTTTGAGTGTAGGGATGGCACAGTCTGGCTTGGGTGTTCAACAGATACCTCTTGCTTCTGTGTTAAGCATGTACAACTGTAATTGGATTATTTGTAACACAAAGGATAAATGCTTGAGGGTATGGATACCCCATTCTCCATAACATGCTTATTTCACATTGCATGCCTGTTTCAAAACCTCTCATGTACCCTACAAATACACATACCTACTATGTCCCCACAAAAATAAAGACAATAAAACATACATATTTGTAAAATAAATGAATAAATGTATACATAAATTTAAAAGAGAATAGAGGGATGAACGTAACTTTACATGTCTGAAAACAGACTTTAAACAAGCTCATTAAATATAACAACTGAAGATAGACAAGCATAAGTCCAATAACCAGATTCTGATTTAGAGAATGATTGTAACTGTAGTTCTTTCAAGGCCATCTTTAAACAGGCTGCTTCTTATTCCTGCAACATGCTGATATATCTTCATGCTTCAAGACTCAGATCATTATCTTCTCTGGGATATCTCCCAAGCACTGCCCCAGAAATAACTTCTCCTCCTACAATACTTAATCATAATCCTTGGCTTACAGGCTTGTTTCTTCTCATTGACTATAAAATCCTCAAGACAAGGTATATAACACATACATCTTTAATCCTAATGCCCAGTAGAGTTCTTGGAAGATAGTAAGCTCTCAATACACATTTGTTAATAGGAAGCAAAACATTTTTTAGCTAATCATTCAAAAAGTGGAATTATCACAAATGTCCATCGAAAGTACTATATGTACACAATTAAATGCTATACAGCCAGGTGAATGAACAAACTAAAATTATATGCATCGTAGATTATTATAAAGATAATTTTGAATGAAAAACGCAAGACACAAAGGAGTATAAGCCATATGATTCCATTTTCATAATAATCAGTGCAGGCAAAACAAAGTTGACAGGGTATGGGTTATACTTGGAGGTAGTGACTGCGAAGGGGTAAGAGGAGATTTCTGGGATTCTGATAATATTCTATTTCCTTCTCTGGTTGTACAGTGTGTCCAATTTTTAAAACACCATTGAGCTATACAGTTAAATTGTGCACTGTCCTCTACATATATTATACTTAAAAGCTTCCACAGAATATATACATAGTTTCTAAAAGACAACAAAACAAAAAATTTTAAATTATTTTAAGCACAAACAATTTTGTTCAGCTGTCTTACAATTCAATATATAAGAATAAATGTATGGCTAATTAGCATAGAGTATATGCATTTTCATAATTAAAACTTCCATGAGTACAACATATGTTAAGTATTTTAAATCAGTTTTTCTCTTTCCTCAAATAAGGCTGTGAGTCATAATTTGGAAAACAGTTCAGCATGTAATAATTTGGTGTTTTTATTTTAAACCAAGCTGAAGCCACACAGAGCAGAACTGCTCCACTGAGCCCTATCCAAATCCTTGACCCACAGAATCAGGAGCAGATAAAATGGTTGCTACTTAAACAAAACAGAACCTTGTTTATATTTTTGTCTCAGAATTTTCAATAAGTATACTTTAATTAATCATTTTAAAACCTGCAGCTTTAGATTATATACTTCTTTTAGGTGGTTTTCAACCAGGGACAATTTTGTCCCCACCCCACCCCCAAACTCCCCAGCATATTTGGCAATGCCTTGAAACATTTCTTGTTGTCTCTGCTCACAGGTAAGGCACTGCTACTGTTATTCAGTGTGTACAACAGGCCAGGGATACTGCTAAACACCCTACAATGCACAGGATAACCCCTCACGGGAAAGAATTATCCAAACTTAAATGTTAGTAATGCTAAAGTTGAGAAACCTTGCTCTGATATAATGTTAGATTGATTGATGATTGATTGATTGATCAATTTGAGGTGGAGTCTCGCTCTGTTGCTCAGGCTGGAATTCAGTGATGTGATCTCAGCTCACTGCAGCCTCTGCCTTACAGGTTCAAGTGATTCTCCTGCCTCAGCCTCCACAGTAGCTGAGATTACAGACACCTGCCAACAAGCCTGACTAATTTTTATATTTTTAGTAGAGATGGGGTTTTACCATATTTGCCAGGCTGGTTGCGAACTCCTGACCTTAAGTGATTGGCCCACATCGGCATCCCAAAGTGCTAGGATTACAGGCATGAGCCACTGCGCCCTGCTAGGAATTTTTACATTAGAATTTTTCTTGATCAACTTTAATCTCTTATCATTTAGAGATTCTTGAAATATTGAAATTCCCTTGTTCAAAGTGAATTTTCTTAGATTATGTATTGTTAACATCTTTTAAATTGCTTATTTTTAAATTGTTTGCCATGTTTGTTTTCCAATTTGCAGTAAAAAATATTTTGAGAAACATGTTCTTTATAACAATTTTATTCTTCTTTCTCCAGGCTAGAAGAACAAAAGAATATCTTGTCAGAATTTCAAAGAGATTTAAATGAATTTGTTTTATGGTTGGAGGAAGCAGATAACATTGCTAGTATCCCACCTGAACCTGGAAATGAGCAGCAACTGAAAGAAAAGCTTGAGCAAGTCAAGGTAATTTTACTTTCTCAAATTCCCCAGGGCCTACTTGTATAAAGAAGTATATGAATCTATGTTTTAATTTAATCATTGGTTTTCTGCCCATTAGGTTATTTATAGTTCCTTGCTAAAGTGTTTTTCTCACTTTATTTTGTCTTAACCCTGCAGTTCTCAACCAGTGCATATATGAACATATGTATGTGTGTGTGTGTGTGTGTGTGTGTGTGTGTGTGTGTGTGTGTGTGTATATTCCTCAAATAAGTTTGGGAGGTGTGTGTATATATATACATATATATATATGTATGTATATATATACATATATATATATGTATGTATATATATACCTCAAATAAGGTACATACACACACACATACATATAAATATATATATACACATACACAAATATCTAAAGGTACATAATGCACAGTTTTTTCTTAAAAAGTGATTTGAATTTAATTTTAGATTTATTTGAGAACTTTACAACTTCAAATAATTTTAAAAACTGATTAGTTTGTGGAATCATAAAATCTAAATCTAAATGGGAATTATTTTTTAATCTGTCCTGGTCTACATACCTGGTGATTTGAGAATCGTCTTTTAAAAGAAAAATCCCTTTTCTTAGGGAAGATCTGAATTGTTAAATCAATCTCACTACTTCAGCCTCTAATTAAAGGCATTATATTCCCCTGAAGCAATGTTTAATTTTAGCTTATTTGTCTGGGGGTGTGGGACGTGGTGTTGGTTCACATTCCGTTTGGTTGAATAGACATCCAGCTTATTCTAGTGGCTTTTCATGCCTTCCTACTGTGATGTTATTACTGATTACTTCCCTTGGCCAACTGAAATGCTCTGATTGTACAGTTGGATTAACTTTCGTGGTTTTAATTTTAGGAAAGCAATGCTTTTGGATCTATTTCATTTTAATTGTTGAACAGAAGGTGAAAGGGGAAGAGAAATTAATGTTTTATCATTCGCTATTATGTGCCAGGCATTAGAGATATTTACATCCACTATTTTATTTAATCTTCATATCAAACTTTGACAATGGTTGCTCTTATCCTCATTTACAAGGTCACATATCAAAAGGAAATGAAATTGCTCCTTTATCAATGATTCAGTTGGTTTACACATGTAGAGTCCATTGTCAAACATTTATTTCTATGAAACAAGAAATTTACACCTGAACAAGAGATAAAGTATAAAAATAAAATATGACAATACAAATTAAAACAAATACGGAGCACTGACAATACATCAGATGTTTTACTAGGTATTAGATACTCAAAAAAAAAAAAAAAGAATGGGAATCATTTGAAGACGGTTATACCCTAGAACAATGAACTCAGTCTATTCTTGGAAATTATCTTTCCTAAATATATTGAGTGTCATATATAGTAGTATAATTGATAATTCATTTGAGACATAGTTAGTTTCATTTTCTTATTAATTAATACACATGATTCTATTTTCTCCTGAAAGAATCTAGATCAGGGCTGTCAAATAGAATTTCTGATATGATGAAAATGTTCTGCATTATCCATTTTTGTAACAACTAGCCATTTGTGTCTTTTGAATGCCTGAAGAGTTGGTAGTGTGACTGAGGAACTTGAGATTTTATTTTCGTGAATTTTGATTAAATGTTAATAGTGTTGGATGGTGAATGGGTACTGTAGCAGACACTGCAACTCTAGACGACAAAAATAAATTACAGCTGTTAATATCATGGTGGTTGTGGATGTCTTGGGAAAGAGCATACACTATGTGATGCTGGATGAGTAAGAGAAATTTAGGGAAATGGGGTAAAAATGATGATTCCAGAATAAAACTACCCAAATTTGAACCACAGCTTTGTTGCTTGCTAGATTTGTGTCCTGGGAGCTGTTATTTAACCTCTTGACTCAATTTCCTGCCAGATATAGGTGATGGGGGGATGGAGGCAGCAAACTACATTGCCATGTATGTACCTATGCAACAATCCTGCATGTTCTGCACAGGTACCCGAGAACCTAAAGGGCACTAAAAAATATATATGTAAATAAAACCAAGCCAAAAAAATAAAATGAAGATAATAGGATCTACCTGATATAATTATTATAACATGAACATAAACTAAGATAATAAATGTGAAAAGTTAGCACTGTACCTGGCACTGTGCATATTGAGAGTAAATACTCTCAATGTCAGTTACCTCTTAAGATGATAATGCAATTTCTTTGTCAGTAGCATGCTATGTTATGCTATGGCATTCTATGATACCCAAGAGGCTGATTAATTTATTCACATTGTTCTATTTCTGATAGAGATATGTTTTCAGATGCTAACTTTATTTGGAGGATTGCCTTACCACCTTACATTTTTCTCTTAAAAAATTATGAGGGATAATATGACCTCTTTTTGTTCTACAAAGGTTTATCTACTGGGGAGTGATTATTTTAATTAATCATCTCTGTGCTCTGATATATAACTGTTGGTATTTCAGGTACCACTGGCCCTCAGTCAAGTTGCTTCATTTTGATAGACTAATCAATAGAAGTGAAGACAGGGTACTTGGAATTGTGCTGTAATTCATTTTAAACGTTGTTGCATTTGTCTGTTTCAGTTACTGGTGGAAGAGTTGCCCCTGCGCCAGGGAATTCTAAAACAATTAAATGAAACTGGAGGACCTGTGCTTGTAAGTGCTCCCATAAGCCCAGAAGAGCAAGATAAACTTGAAAATAAGCTCAAGCAGACAAATCTCCAGTGGATAAAGGTTAGACATTAACCATCTCTTCTGTCACATGTGTTAAATGTTGCAAGTGTTTGTGTTTATTTTCTTTCCTGGGTGCTTCATTGGTAGGGGAGGAGGCTATATGTGTTTTGTTTTTTAAGACCATTTGCCTTGGCTGTATGTTTGGTTGTGGCTATAAAAAATGATGATGGTGAAGGGCTTCACATTAATGACCAAATGCCAAAATGTACACCACAATTGTTTTGCGTAAATTATTCTGCAGAATTAGACTGAAGAAATGGTGAGGTATTTAATTCAGTGACCAGGTATATATTGACAGTGTTTAAGCTAAAAGGAAAGGACGTGGTCTAGTTCTAGTTGAACAAATATCATAAATCAAAGTTAAATATTCACACCTATAGTGTAGACTTTATAATTAATGTATGCTAACATTCTCCTCGTTTGTTTATTTACTTACCTACTTATTTATTAACTTGTGATTTTTCATCTTTCCACCTTGAATACTATATAAATCTAATATTAATATTTATTAAATGAATGCTTATTTATTTTATATAAAGCAAGTAGTGCATGTGAATTTATAATAAAAGGCAACAACAATTGATCCAGCACTATTTATTCAAAGATAATTATTTCCCCACTGTATTGTCATGGCATCTTTGTCATAAATTAAGTGAACCTGTATGTATAAATCTGCTTCTGGATTCTCTATCCTCTTCCATTTGATTAAATCTGTACTTTAATAGTATGTCACTGGCTTAATTACAAACTCGTTTTAAAACAATTCTACTGAGCTATAATTCACATACCATTAAACTCACCAATTTAAAGTGGAAAATTCAATGGTATTCAGATATTACTTTTTTAAGGTGTTAAAATATTTAACATAAAAATCTTGTCATTTCAATCATTTTGTGTGTAAAATTCAGTGGCATTTATTACAACCATCACCACGATTTATCTCCAAATTTTTTATTACTCCAACCAGACACTCTGTAATCATTAAGCAATAGTTCTCCTTTCTCTGTCTTCCCATCCTCTAGTAGACTGTAGACTACTTTCTGTTTAAATGAATTTGCCTACTCTAGATCTTTTATATAATTCAATTGTGTTTGTCATTTTGTGTCTGCCTTACTTGGCATAATATTTTCAAGGTTCATCTATGTTATAGCATGTGTCAGAACTTCATTCCTTTTTATGACTGAGTAATATTACATTGCATGTATACATGCAATCATTTTATTTACCCATTTTGGATCTGGTTGTGTAAATCAACCAACTTTGTTCTTCCTGTTCAAGATTGCCCTGGCTACTTTTGGTTCTTTGAATAAATACTAGAACCATGTTGTCTATTTTTACATAAATCCTGCCAGGATATTGATTGAAATTTTGAATTTGCAGATCAGTTAAAATCTTTACAATGCCGAGTCATCTAATTTGTGAACATTTTGAATTATGTCAGGTTACTTATTATATTTTTTAAATTGATGATGGTGACATTCTTATGATAGATCATTTACATGACATAAAATATTTAGAAACTAAAGTACCAATTTTATGACACTAATATCAAAATGTGTGCTTAAGTCTCTGTAATTCAAGCAAGTAGTCATTTTTTAAAAATCCCTTTTTGGTTTCTTCCTTTAATGATTTCAAAACATTTGTGTAAATATATATGTATGAAACAAACCTGTACATTCTGCACTCTGCACATGTACCCCAGAACTTAAAGTATAATAAATTTAAAAACATGTAGACTTTTATGTATGAAGGGAAGGTGGTATCCCTGCAATTAAATTTTATAGCTACAAAACAATACAAATGAAATAATCCCTCATAAAAAGAGAACAAGGAGGAAAGATACCCAAAATGTTCTACGATATCCCAGTACATCTTATCACAAAAAGAAAAACAAAAATTATAATTGTAGGAAATATGAGAGAACTATCTAAAATATACAATAGCAGCTTTGTGGATTGTGAGTCAAGGTTTTATGTGTTCTGCAACAGAGCCAAAAGTCAAATTTTATGCTAGAAAATTAATACTAAGGTTATGAACACCATCATGTAAAGACTTATATTGGTACATAATCAGTAGTATCTTTTCCTATGCCAAAATCATAATTTTAATGCAATATCTTTGGCATTAAATGCCACAGGATTTGGAATTTTATTCATTAGTCATATTAAAATTATTCAATCATTTTTTCTCCATCCACGTGCCTCTGTATCCTGTCAGTTTAGATTTAGGGATACAAAGCAAATGATCAGTGCCAGATTTAGGTAAATACACAAGTTTTTTTTTAAAGTAAAGAAAAATGGCTTGTAACTCTGGCAGACGGCCTTCATCTTCATTAAACCTCAAGCTCTTACTTATTACAGGAGGGTAGAAATAAAGGGGATGCCCTCCTTGTGTTTTCCAGCCCTGTTCTTCATCCAGAGGCTAAAGTGGGTGATGTAATTGGAACTAGTGGGTCATAGTTACTGGGACATGAATATGTCAATTCCTTAGCACACAGTTTCTCCAAATATATCCTAATATCATAATCAGTTGACAGGTGCCTTTCTCCACAGCTAACACTAATACGCTGCATTCTGCATATTGAGCCAACTGACCACTTACTTTTGTACCTTTAAAGTTCATTGCTGAAGAGAGAAAACAGTGGGTGAAGATAATGTAGCTATTTCTTTAATGGAGTGGTGGACCGTATAATGAGTTCATTGCAAGTGTGTTACCTTGCTTTGGCCTGGGTAGCTTCTCTTTAAGTAGAAATGGAAAGGGTTGCTTTAAACTGAATATGGTCATTAGCTTAAATTTATGGGCACCTTCATGCTATGAAGGTTCATGAAATGATATCCTCATTCTCATCTAATACATAACTACATAACTTAACCTTTTGCAGTCTTTAACGATAATACTGAGCCACGAAGTGGGGATGTTGTTAAAGCTAGCTTCTGTGTTTCTCTCTGAGCATCTCATTCTATGATCTTCAAATACATTCCTGACTCAGCTGCTTTTAATATTTATCACTCTTCATATTTCTTTGGATTTTCTCTGAACATTTATGTGTGTGGAGAAGGCTTTCTCACCATCATTATCACGCTCTTCTTCTAACTTTCTCACTCTTTTATGCTAATTTTCATCTATGAATTGACATTGTACAATGTTTATTGTGAATCTACTTTTCTATATGCGTGTTTGCCACTCTTTTTCTGCCCCATTAGTTTATGTAACACATTCTTTTCTACTCTTTCCCTGACCCCTTTTATTCCAGTTTCATCTACTTTCATGTCTTTTTAATATTGTGTCCCCTTTCCTCATTCTTTATTGGTCTTTGTACATGTAGTAGATAGGTATTTTTTAACTGCCCCTTTATTTAAAACCAAAATATGCTTTATTATTCTTTACCTTTGAATCATATTGCATGCTTCATTAATTTAAAAAGTGAAAAGATGAAACATTCATTTTGCAGGCTCAGGATTATTTAGGTAGAAGGAGCCTCATGAAAGTAAATTATTTTCACATCTTCTAGATTAGAACACTGAGTCCTAGAAAGGTTATGTGACTTATTTGAGACTATGTAGCTCTCTATTTAAATATAAAAGTAATTCCAAAATAAAGAGTGGGGTTTTAACCTTTTGGTGATGCAAGTGATTTTTATGTGGATAATATCCTAGAAAAAAAGAAAAAATATGGAATCTCATTTCATTCCATTGCTCCTTTCAATGTAAAAATGTGGATTTATTTTATTTTAAAAACCTACATGAGCTTTTGCTTTGCTTTTTGCCCTTTGGAGAACTAGATGCTATTTTTTGAAATTACTTTCTAGAACCTTCTCTACCGTGGAACATTTATGATTGTGTAGTAGAGCAAAACATGTTTATGTTGTTTCATAATTAGTTATAATCCTGTTTTTAATGTCAAGTAATTTTACATGTGGTGTATGTTATGCATTCCTATCAGTTTGAATAAATGTATTTTCATTTGGTAGAATGAATTTAAAATTTTCATCGTATTTTACATGTAAACAGTAATTTACTATCTACATGTTAAACACCATTGACAAGTAAAATATACTGTTAACATGTAAACAGTGAATTACTATTGATTTGTTACTGCCCAGACAATATAAAATGGTGCACGTAAAAAAAAAAAGCATTTTTGGAAACAGTTAAAAAATTTTTCTGGAAAGTAAATTTTAGTTAAGTGCATCTTTAAAAATCTTATTCACATTACCTAGGAAAAATGTAGATTTACAAATGTACCATATATCACAAAGCTTTAATATGGGAACAATTTTTGTAATATTGATAATAGTATCGATATTATTTTCAAAATAAATGGCAAAATAAAAATTATGAAACTAAAAATATAGTGCAACTCTTAGGACGAACTATCTTCCACAGTATACAGAAATCTAAATTGCCAGAAATCTGGTTCATTTTGTATTAACCTTTAATCATATTGCTTCTAAATATGTATCTGAGGAGTAAACACGTTAGATTTATTTTCATTTGTATAAAGTAAATAAATGTTTAGTCTTTTTCCAAACGTTTGCTATGTAATGACAGTCATTATTAGTCATCAGTATAAATTTGAATAGCAAAAAGGAGAAAATTAAATAAAGCTAGAGCTTGGCTTTCCTACTCCTTGCTCAAAAATGTACACTTTGTCCAATCAATTCCCTGTCACAAAATGATGATTAGTAGATTGTTGTAATAGTTGCCATTCTGTCCTGCCCTTAATGTGATTTTTTTTCAACCAAAATAGAATGTTCACTGGTGTTCTTACCATATTGACTGGTGTTTATGGAACCCTGAAAAAATGCTGTAAATAGGAATGATAATAATCATTATAGGAAATCATTTATCTAGCTGGTCCCCTTCATAGCAGGGACCACATAGTTCCACTGAAGCTTTTGTGTGCTCATAATTTTCTCCCTTAAAATGTATTTGTAACACAGTTCACACAGTGTTTAATTTATAAATCTGTGAGTTAAATGCTATTATATAAGAAAACAG